GATAAATAGATATCTGAATGAATAGATAAATAAATATACATAAAACCAGCTGGTTTTGTACCTGGTGCTCACAGTGTTTGCAAACCATGTTGCTGGTCAGCCTCCCATGGAAAGGATGCTGAGATTTCCAGTGGTTTGACACAGGGGGAAGAGATCCTGCAACACAAAGTTGCAATTACCCTTTTGTTTTCCATACATCCGTGTTCATCACTCTAACTCCACGTTTTTGCCCCACAGTAACAAAACTGACTGCCCCAAAGCATGTTCTGTCCCACTGCCCATAATTAATGGGGGGTTGTTTATATTTCTGAGGTGTATTTCAGCCCAATACAGACAAAGAACAATTAATATTATCCCCTTAATAAACAAAGCAACTCCTCCATGAATATTCATACTCCAGAATGAATAAAATCCTACCTCTTGTTCTGCAGCTTATTTGCTTTTGGGTTGTTTCTGTTTGCTACAGAGGAAGATAAAAGGATTTCATTAACCTCAGAAACAATTAAATATGTTCCTATTTCATCCCTAATTGGTTTTCCTGGCATTAGAACAACTGTGGGAGTTTTAGTGGCTCTTTTTATTTGAAGAACAAAAAAACCTGGCACAAAACAAATTTATAATTTACACTGTTAATAAAATGAATAATTAAACTGCAGAATTCTCTGCCTCACAGCACTAAAATATGAAATTTTATATACTTTTATATATATTTTAGGCAAAAAGAGATAGAAACTTTCCATCAAGTTTATCACTGAACTGGAGGATAAGATAAATTTTACCTCCATAAATGTCCATTTTGCAGTTTTCAAACCTTTTTCACTATAAGAGTAACTGCTGAGATGGACACCTGCTCTGTGCTAGTATTTAAATCCCCATATTCAGTGGATTTAGGGATGCAAAACCCTCAGGAAAGTGGGATCAGTGTAAATTCAAAGACACTTTCATTCTTTAAACTGCCTGACATATGGATTAATTTCTGTCAAAGAGCAGCTTTGTGAACATAATAAAAATCCAGGTAGATTCCAGGAACTCCTCCTGCTGATGGAATGAAAGGAGTCACCTCCAGGGAGTGCACATCGAACAGGTGAGTCACGCGGGGCTGCCGGTCCCGTTCATCCTCCAGGGAAGAGGTCAGGACATGGAACAGCTCATGGGCATCCTGGGAATACAGTGAGGACCAAAACACATCAGAACACACCCTAGGAGGGCTGAAATACCCCAGGAAATTAGGGGAAAATCACAGCTCAGAGCCCACCTTATGTATTTATTAGTATAATATAAATATATAATGAATATTACTAAATAAGTAAGATCATATAATACACACATATAGATATAATAATACCAATGGATAATAGTATATAAATGAATATTTAATATTAAATATATTAATTACACCCATTGTGCACCTGCTGTTGTGCCAAAAAGCTCTATAACAGCACAGAGTATTAAAGATATTCTGGGCCATATAAACTCAAAAGAAACTAAAATACTTGGAGGAATATAAGCCCAAATTCCTGTTTTCCCTAATTCAGTAAAAGCTTAATTGGAATCTACCCTTGGAAATACAGAATGTATTTTATGAGTGAGATATTGATGGAGTTCATTGACCAACTGCACCCAGGGCTGGAAACACTGACAAGGAATAGAAATCCTGGAAAGATTAGAAACCTTGGATGGTAAAAGTAAGAAAATTGGGAAATGTGAGTGGAATCCATCCCTGGAAGCAAAGCACAGATCCATCAGCCATAGGTAAGGTAGGGCTGGATCTCTGCTGGTTTAATGTGGTTTAATATTCCTGGCTGTGCTGTTCCAAGTCTGAAGGTAATCCTGAGGTCTGGAAGCAGCCAGGCTTTCCATGAGAAATATCCCAGCAAACTGAAAACCCCATCCCTCAATCCCGTGGTTATTTCCCATCCCTTTTTAAAGCAGGACTCATCTCTGACACTCAGAGCAGTTGGTCCCAGAGCTCCAGGTCCGTTATCCCTGGCCAGGGGCAACACCAGGAATGTTCCCTGACTCACCTGCTCTTCAAAGGAGGAGATCTGCCACCTGTTCATCCTCAGCACCTCCAGCAGGCAGCTGGCATCCAGCACATCGTCCTCTGTCACCTCCTGACAGGACAGAGCTGGGGACAGGGCACAGACAGATGTCACAGGGGAGCCAGAAATGGGGGGAAATTGCTATTTCACAGCCCACAAACCCTAAGTTAAAGCCCCCCATCCCCACACCATGCACGTGTTCACTGACACCATTTCAGTAGGAACATCCCAAGACAGAAATCCCAAGGGATTTCGTTTAAACCAAACCCCTGTGAGAGAAGCCAGAGAGAGCCAATTCATTTTGAAAATGTGACTGAGATGAATTTAGCGCAGGGACAAGTCTGAAACGAGTCACCTCAAGCTCAGAGGCTTTAATGTTCTTATCTAAAATCATCCAAAGTATCTCACTTAATAATCTAAATTTTTTTGAAAATTTAAATCCTGGAAAAAATGCTTGAATTCTTTGCTAATGACTTCTTTTTTTACAGAATTCTGTCTCTCTGTGAAAGGTGGCTGAGCTTGGCCAAAGGGTTCAAAATTACAGAGGGAAATTAAGTAGGTAATAAAACCAGAGGAACTACTTTCCTGGGGGAAAAAAAGGCTAAAAATGATAATGTTTCTGATAAATATTTTATTCTTAGTTTACCACAAGAGGAAAATGTTCCAATACCTCTGAGGAGCTGCAGCAAAGTGACTGAAAGGTGTTGGTGCTCCTGGGGCTTGCTCTGCTCTGTCTTGTACTGGGCTGTGAACTCCTCCAGCCACCTGATGAAGGAGGGGCAGGAGGACAAGCCCTGCAGCAGGGAGTTCATGAAACACGTGTTTCCAAGGTTCAGGAGGCCTGGGACAAGCCCTAGAAACAGAGAGTTTACACCATGAACTCCGGGAAAAAAACATACCATCCGTCGGTGTAGGAATGTTGTGTTAGGTGTTATAATTGCGTGGAAACCAAATCATTTCAGTCTTATTTGTTATTTCATAGAACCCCAGACTGGTTTGGGTTGGAAGGGACTTAAAGATAACCCTGTCCCACCCCCTGCCACGGGCAGGGACACCCTGCACGAGACCAGGATGCTCCACCCTGGCCTTGGACACTTCCAGGGATGGGGCAGCCACAGCCTCTCTGAGCCGCCGGTGCCAGGGCCTCACCACCCTCACAGGGAAGGACGTCTTCCCAAAACCCCATCTGAGCCCGCCCTCCGGCAGCGGGAAAGGGAAACAGGTGCCCTGCCAAGGTGCAGGACGGACAGAACCACGCGGGCTGAGCAACCCAGCAGCCCCATTCCCGGTTCCGTCCTCCCCCCCAACCCCATTCCCAGTACCCCTCCATTCCCATTCCCATTCCCGGTACCTCTCCGGCGCCGTCTCCTGCCGCCCATGGGCCCCCACAGCACGTACAGCCCCGCCGCCAGCGCCGCCGCCGCGCCCCCCACGACGCCCCAGTGCCGCATCGCCCTGTGCCTGGGAACGGGAACGCCAATGGGAACGGGAACGCCAATGGGAACGGGAATGCCAATGGCAACGGGAATGCCAATGGCAACGGGAATGCCAACGGGAACGGGAATGCCAGTGGGAACGGGAATGCCAATGGGAACGGGAATGCCAACGGGAACGGGAATGCCAATGGGAACGGGAATGCCAATGGGAACGGGAATGCCAATGGGAACGGGCACGGCCACGGGAGAGACACGGGCTGGCCGCGGAGGGGAACGGGGAAAGGGGAAGGGGAGAAGGGAACGGGGAGAAAGCGACAGGGGAGGAAAGGGAAGGGGCAAAGGGAGAAGGGAAGAAGGTAAGGGGAAAGAAGAGGGGAGGAAGAGAAGGGGAGAGGTAGGGAAGAAGGGAAAGGGAGAAGGGAATGGGGGAAATGGAAGAGAAAGGGACGGGGAGAAGCGAGGGGGGAAAAGGGAAAGGAAGGGCTCGGCCGAGAGCTCGCCCCAGCCACCCCCGGCCCTGTCCTCTGTGTCCCGGCCCCCTCCTGTCACCCCCGGCGCCCTCCCCCGTCCCTGCTGTCCCCTCCCCTCACACCTGGCCCCCTCCCCCGCCCGCAGCAGCCGCCGCACCGGCCCCTCCGCGCCGAGCCCCAGCATGGCCGCGCCGGAACGCGGGCGCGCGGGTGGGCGGACCCGGGGGGGACCGGCCCGCGGGGCGCACCGGGCGGGCGGAGCCGGAAGCGGCGCGGGGGGGAGCGGTTATTGCGCGGCACCGGCCACGGCGGCGGGAGGGGCGCGGGCGGCACCGGGGGGGACTGCGGGGAGCGGGGCCCGGACCGGCCCCAGACAGGGCCTGGCGGGCCCGCACGGGGGTGACAGACCGGTACCGACAGTGGCAGGCCCGGTCCGGTGTCCCGGGTCCGTACCGGTGTCCCGGGCCACGGCCCCGCCCCACCCGGCCCCGCAGCCCCCCGAGGAGGGGGCTCAGAGCCCCGGGGCGGCGGCGGGACCGCCCGGTGCCAAAGCTCCGGTGATGCCGGGGGAGGTTCAGTTGGATCTCGGGAAAAGCCCCCTGGAACGGGCCGTCCGGGGACACCCCGTGGCGGGGGGTGTGACAGCCCCGGAGGTGGCACTTGGGGACACGGGCACGGGGGAGGAGGGCTTGGATCCCAGGGGGTTTCCACCCGCAGGGATTCCGTGGCTCGAGCCAACATCCCGAACCACCCCCGGTCCTGCGGGACCCCGAGACCCCTTTAACGGAGCCCTCGGGGCTGTTCAGGGACACGGAGCCGTGGCCGGGCCGAGCCCAGCTGAGACGACCTGAGCCAAACCGGGCCGTGCTAAGCTCAGTTTAGCCACGGTAAATCCAGGTCAGCCCAGCCGAGCCAAAGTGATCGCAGCTGAGCCCAACAGATCCCAGCTGAGCTAAATCCAGCCCAGCCGAGCCGCGCTGAGCTCAGCCAAGCCTAACCTGCCCGAGCCAAACCATGCCGAGCCGAGCTCAGCCGTGCCAAACCGAGCCGGGCCGTGCTGAGCTGAGCCGAAACAACCCCAGCTGAGCCAAGCCCTGCCCACCTAAAATGAGCCGAGCCGTGCTGTGCCGAGCTGAGCCCAACGCAGGCGAGCCAAGCCGAGCGCAGCTGTGCCTGGCTGAGCCGAGCCGAGCCGAGGCAAACCGAGCCCAGCTGTGCTCGGCTGAGCCGAAATGAGCCCGGCTGAGCCCGGCTGAGCCGAGCCCAGCGAGCGAGCGAGCGGCTGCGCGGCCCGGCCGCTCCCGTCGGAGCTGTCCAGCCCCATCCCGCCTTTCCCGGCGCTCCTGCCGTTCCCGCATCCCGCTGCCGCCGCTCATCCCGATCCCGCTCATCCCGATCCCGACCCCGCCATGCGGGAGCGATGAGCGCAGCCGCCCCGCCCGGCCATGGAGGAGGATTTGTTCCAGCTCCGGCAGCTCCCGTGAGTAACCGGGGGGTTCCTGCCCCTCCGCCCGCGGGGACAGCGGGAATCCCGCCGGGTTTACGGGAATTCTGCCGGGAAGGCGCTTAGGCCGCGGGAAACAGGCCATTTTCCCGCGGTGCTGCCCGGGCTCAGCATCCCCAGGGATGCAGGAACCGTTCGTTACATAAATTCCCTCCATTCGGGGGGGATTCTCTTTTGCATGGGGGGTAAAAATCGGGAGGGGTGGGATAAAACCGTGCGAGTGCCACGGGATTTTGGGAGAGGAAAGGTGGGAATCGCCTTTGCAGAGGGGTTATCTGTAAATAACGCTGTGCCGGGGAGGCTCTTCCTCCCCATCCTCCTCCTCCTCCTGCCGGGAGCGACTGCGGAGCAGAACCTGCCCTGCAAAGGGGCTTTTGGGGAGGACCAGCGACATTCCCGGGGGTTCTGGAGAGGGAAACGCTGCTGCACAAGGGAAAGGCTGATATTTGCCAGGAAGTCTTTGCCTTTGGGATGTGGTCGCTGGATCTGGGCACCAGGAAAAAAAAAAAAAAAAAAAAAAAAAAAGAAGATAAATCCGTTGTGCCTTTAACCCCGGGGTTTCCTTCCCTTTCCCTCAATGCCAAGTGTTTCCTTCAAAACCAACCCCATTTCTCCCCATGCTCCGTTCTCAGGTGCTTTGCAACATAGTCCTATTTATAAATCCTTGGCTCTGCAAGGCAGGGAATGAATGTTTAAAGTTTGTGTTAAATATTCATGAGCTCGTGTCAATGACAGAGCAAACTGTCCCATAACACTCCTGATAAGTTGGGAAATGGCCATGAGCTCAAATTATTTCCAGATCCTTAGTTAGGATGCCTTCAGCTTGTTGGGAAAAGGAATCAGACATTATTTTATTAGACTGATTTTCCCATTTTTTTAAAGACAGAACCCAGGAATATGCTCCAAAGTGCCTCCCAGTGCAGGTGTAATCAGGTGTTTTGTGCTGGGAGATCTTGCCAATAAATGCAGCAGTCCCTGAGATGTCCCAGCAGTGGAGGATTTTGCAAGTCTGGAACAGAAGATATCTCTGGGGTTTTTTTTTCTTTGTCTATGTCCATTTGTTCTGTATATTCCTGAGTGATAAATGTATATTTTGATTTGCTGCACTGAGGAACAGGGCAGGTTGTTCTCTGCTCAGATTTGGGATTCTCAGAGCAGTCTCTGCCTGTGTGGAGATCCATCACCTCCAAAATTACAGCTGGGAAGATGCAGAAACTCCAGCTGGATCAGGGGCACCCTCAGCAAGGTGACACTGAGCTCTGTGATGGGGTCACATCCTGGAGGGAAGGGATGGATCCAGAGGCACCTGCACAGGCAGTGGCTGCTCCATCCCTGGAACGTTCAAGGCCGGGTTGGATGGAGCTCTGGTCTGGTGGAAAGTGTCCCTGCCCATGGCAGGGGGTGACCAAATGATCTTTAGGGTCCCAGCCTAACCAAGCCCAGCTCCTGGAATAACCCATGGGAGTGTTAATCCCTGTTCCTGGCTTTCAGGGTGGTGAAGTTCCGCCGCACCGGGGAAAGCTCCAGGTCGGATGAGGATGGAATTTCAGGAGAGCACGAGGTGCAGATTGAGGGGGTCAGGACAGAGTTAGAGCCTGTGGAGCTGGAAGATGGAGCTGCAGTGCCAAAGGAATTTGCCAACCCCACTGATGGTGAGTAGGTCACTGGTTTTCCTGCCAGGGGAAAGGTGTGGCCTCTTCGTCTAACCAAGGTGGATACGCTGGGTTTGGAGAAGTGAAAGATGCCCAGAGAAAAGCAGGAAATAATGACATAGGCAAAATATGTTACACCTGGGAATCTTGGTTTAATCACCCCATTCTCTGTGGGCTGCTCCATGTGTTTGGCTTTGTATCCCCAGTAACAGACCCTTTTAGGAGTTGTGGATCCAGCTGTCATCCACCATTATTTCTTAGTTACCTTAGAACTGATCCTGCTCCCAAAACGTTGCCAGGTTTGCTGGAGCAGGTACACCTGGCTCTCCTTCAAGGCAGAGATGAATCTGCAGTGTTCCCATCTCCTCCTTTCCTAGAGGACAAGAGGGACAGGAGGAATGGACATCCCAGCCTGTGCTCCCTGCCTGGAGGCAGCGCTGGTTTGGGAGAGATGAGAAATATTGGCTTTGTCTTACACAAGGCAGGTGCAAATTTGGTAGGATGTTATTAATCCTAGTTGTGAACATCTCTGCTCTGTTTTATCCACTGGATTTTGTTTGATTTCCTCTTGGTTTGTGGGTTTGGGCTCTGCTGAGTGAGGATGGGCAGCTCTGAGCCAGACAAAGCTTTTCTGTGGGGAATGTCCTTTTTAAACTGCTCGAAGTGTTACAACTGTGAGACTCGAACAGCTCAAATATCAAAATGTGCTTTTCTTGTTCAGTTCATTTTTTTTGCACTTGAGCAGAGGAATTTGAGATATCTCAGCATCTTCAGCTGGAACAAAGTAATGAGGTCATGGCACTGTGTGGGAAACAACCCTCAGCATTCTGAATAGAAATAGGCTTTAAGATACGTGTGTCTTGGGCAAATTCTTGATTTAAATAATTCCAGGTTGACTCTCCCTGCAATAAAACATTCCCTGCAGTTCCCAGCATTGCTGGGGGCTGTTGCATGGCTCTTATTTCTCCCCAGAGGAAGCTGCAGTTCAGTGGCTGGAGGAGTCACTCCAGGAGTGAGAGGCTGAACACATTGATTTACCTCTATGGGATTGAAATATTCTAGGAATAATTAGGATTATTTTGAATTTAGCACCATTCCTGAAGAACACAGGGATTTTCCTGAGTAGGAACTGTATTGAAACTAAGCAGCTGAGTTACCTATTTGAGATCTCAACAGGTTACCTGGTTAATTAGGAGTTGTACTCACAGCAAATGCCCTCCCAAGGGATGGCTTTCACTAGGGGAGGAATCCACTCCGGCACTGGAATTGTTTTCTTTCCAGATACTTTCATGGTGGAAGATGCGGTGGAAGCCATTGGATTTGGGAAGTTCCAGTGGAAGCTCTCTGTCATCACTGGATTAGCCTGGGCAAGTAATTGGGATCAGCACCAATTGCACGGTCACCAGAGAACCTCAGGGGATTTCAAATCACGGAGACAGAGAGTTTCCAAACATATAAATGTACAGCAAAGAAGGAATTTTGCTTGAAATTCTGAAATAAGGAATTCTAAGGAGTCAGACTTGTTATTTGGGGGTAATGAACAACTGATGGATTTCTTTGTCTCTGAAATCCTTATAAATCAGGGTTTGAAAAATCAGATTGATTCTCCACTTCAAATGCTGTTTCAGATCCATGTATAAGGTTGGAATGTGCCACGGTTTAGATCCTAAGTCAGCTGTGGAATTTGGCCTACGGATGATCTACCAACATATTTGATACAAATCTAGGTATAAGGGAGAGAGGGAATAAGTTAAAAGGTAATAAACAGTTCTGACTGAATCTGTGTGTGAAGGAGCTTGGAATCTGCACTGTGGAGGTGACTGAGCCTGGGTGACTCCTTGGGATCACCCCCCAATAACTTTGGATTTGGCTCTTTGAATCCTCTGTGCCAGAGTTCCTGATCACAACAACCAGGAACGAGTTTAAAAGGGAACCTGTTGCTGTGTTTGCTCCACCACAGAGTGGGAATGGCACAGAAATTCCAACAAGGTGTATTTATTGACTCCTATGTCCTTCTAACTGTCAGGCAGGGATTTATTTTGCTCTCTTTTCCCCCTACAGATGGCAGATGCCATGGAAATGATGATTTTAAGCATCCTGGCTCCCCAGCTCCACTGTGAGTGGCGATTGCCCAGCTGGCAGGTGGCTCTGCTCACCTCGGTAGGAAAACAACTCACAGCTCCTGTGTTCCCTGAGGCTTTTCCTCTCAGTGTTATCCTGACATTATGCTTTGTATCCCCAAGTTAAATCTCTGCATGGCCTTTGCAGATTGCCTTTGGCTTGGAAGATTAGAGAAGTTTTTTTTTTTTAAATTGTGGAACTCCGTGAGAACTGAGGAAGTTTCAGGCTCAAATTTTCATGTAATTTCTAGGAAAATATATGAGTTGCCTCAGACTCATCCTAAAATTCAAACCATTAGATTAATTGAAAATAAAGATTGGTAAATTTCTGTTGTCTTGCTTGCAAATCTTTCTCTCTCCTCACATTTAAGCTCCCTTGGACACAGACACAGTGGGAGCTGTGAGAGAGCAAACAAGGGTACCAGAGTGTCCAGTCCAGTTCCAGACTGGTTTGTCACTGGATGGAATTTTAATGGCAAAACTGACTGGAGAGGTGCTTTGTTGCTTCCTCTCTCCAACCCAGAGAGAACTGGATGGTCTGTAAGGCCCCTTCCAAATCAAACCATTCTAAGACTACCTGGACTTGTCACTCTGTTGTTAGAGCTGAAATTTTCTGGTTTCCCTGGAAGTTTTGTTCTCTTTGCTGTCACACAGAAATTTTCACTTGTCTTGTGTTTAAGGGGAAATTTTTTTCTTGGTGTTTCACAGGTGGTGTTTGTGGGAATGATGTCCAGCTCCACCCTCTGGGGAAACATTTCAGACCAGTATGGGAGAAAAACAGTAAGTCTGCAACTCCTACTGGAATTTATCCCAATATTTCTGCAGTGGGGGTGTTTCAGTGCATGATGGCCCTGGCACAGGTTGCCCAGAGAAGCTGTGGCTGCCCCATCTCTGGAAGTGTTCAAGGCCAGGTTGGACAGGGCTTGGAGCAACCTGGGATAGTGGAAGGTGTCCCTGCCCATGGCAGGGGGTGGAACTGGATAATCTTTAAGGTCCCTTCCAACCCAACCCATTCTGGGATTTTGTGGTCACAGATGTCAGAGTCCACAGGCACAAAGCAGAACTAAGCACATCCAGAACTGACCTCCCATGAAATAAAGGGAATTTTTAGCTCTGTTTTGTACTTGGTTAATCTGTGTTACAGCAGAACCTCTTTTTTAACTCGTGTTCAATGCAGGGCCTGAAGATCAGCGTGTTGTGGACACTCTACTACGGGATCCTCAGTGGGTTTGCTCCCGTGTACAGCTGGATCCTGGTGCTGAGGGGCCTGGTGGGGTTCGGGATTGGAGGAGTGCCTCAGTCGTAAGTAAATATTCACGAGTCCAAATTCCTCTTTTCTATTCATTTCTTGTAAAATGTTTATATCCAATTGAAGTGTTGTTTCTGTTCAGCTGACCCAAACCTTGGCCTTGTTGCAAGACAGGTCAGGACCTAAACACCAGCATTCAGAGGCAGAGCTGAGCCCTGACTGCTGGGTCTAAAACCACAGATTATTGTTCAGCCAGAGCCTAAACTTCCATGTCTCAACCTGAGCTGGAATTCCAAACCCACTCATCCCAAACCTGGAGCACTGAGAGTGCTGTGTTGGCTCAGAGGAAAAAGGCAGTATCAGCATCAGGATATTTCTCTATCACTGTGTCATTCCATTCACTGAAGTGAGGGATCCATAAATCTCCCACCTGGAATAACTGACTCTGCTCTAGGCTTTTAATTATGAATGTAAAGAGAAGAGTTCGGCCATTCTCTCTCTGTGCAGCCTTTCATCCTTATCAATAATTGATATTTTGCCTTGTGGAGGTGCTATTTGGGAGTAGTCAGAGTCTAACTTTGATTGATGGCTCATTGACTTCTTCACAAAGTAGGAAAAATAGCTCCTAATACCCTTAAGCAGGCTGTGTAACTCCAGAGGTGAGTGGCTGAATCTCAATGGAATATCTTTGTAACAGCATCTTCTCTAATGGCTGTGAGAGAGAGATTGTTCTGAAAGGTACCTTTAAAAGAAAAACCTCCAGTACTAATCCATTAACTGACTGTGGCACATATCCCTCTGTCCATGTGTAGACAGAGAGCTGAACCTGAAGCTCTGGCCTCCTCTGGGATTTTCTGTGAGATGCTGTCTGATGCTGAATATGAAAGTTCATCCACAGAGCCAACATCCAGAACTGCAAGGGTGTGGAGTGTTCAGGGATGGGGAGTATTCTCTTAGGAAAACAGTTCTGTACAGCATTATAGAATAGAAGGGTTTGGGTTGGAAGGGACCTTAAAGCTCATCCAGTCCCACCCCTTGCCATGGACAGCAACACCTTCCACTATCCCAGGTTGCTCCAAGCCCTGTCCAACCTGGACACTTCCAGGGATGGGGCAGCCACAGCTTCCCTGGGCAACCTGTGCCAGGGCCTCACCACCCTCACAGGGAAGAATTTCCTCTGTATATCTCACCTAAATATCCCCTCTGTCAGTCTGAACCCATTCCTCCTTGTCCTGTCACTGCAGTTCCTGATGAACAGTCCCTCTCCAGCTCTCCTGGAGCCCCTTCAGACACTGGAAGGTGCTCTGAGGTCTCCACATAAACTTCTCCTCTCCAGGCTGAACAGCCTCAGCTCTCCCAGCCTGTCTCCATAGGGAAGGTGCTCCAGTCCCCTTACCAGCCTCGTGGCCTCCCCTGGACTTGCTCCAACAATTCCATGTCCTCATGTTGGGGTCACTTATCAGCTCCTGTGTTCCAAGATGTGATTTTCCTTCTCCTCTAAATCCCTGCTTTGATATAATGTTGTGTAACTTTGTACTTCCATGACTTTGTACTTTGCTTCCTGGGCAGCTCCTCATAAATCAATCCACTGTTCCTTAGGTTGGGAGGAATTTTGTCACAAACCTCCAGGGAAGCCTGGGGAGTTTAGAGGCAGGAACAGGCTGAGTCGATGGAATGCAAAGCAGCAAAGACAAGCCTGAGCAGACAGTTTGAAGAAGATGAGGGAGCCTTGACTGGCTGCTGGCCCTGCCTTCATCCCCAGGAAACACTCCCAGAGAAGCTGTGCCATCTCCCTTTGGCACAGTCATGGAACAAAGCCTCTGCAGAGCTCAGTGATTTCTTTTGGAATCCCACAATAAAGGAATGCAAATTATTTTATACCAGTAACATGATCAGACCTTGAAAGTCTCCCCCTCTTGGAGAACTGAACCCTGGCAGAGGAGACTGATGTGGAATTCTCTGAGCCAGCTGTAAAGCCCTGAAGAGAAACTTTCCCCAGCAAGAGTTTGTGTTGGATTCTGATGGACCACACTGGAAATAACAAATACAAGGCCTGGCCCAGAGCAGGGCTGTGAAAACATCATTTAGACAACAACTATGGGGTCACAAATCACATGAGAATAGCAAACTGTGTCCTCTCTTGCAATGGGGAAGGGTTGGTTCTCATGTAGAAAGGGGAGTCTGCCCCAGTGTCAGCCTGGCTGGCTCTGGGGGACAGGAAGGGGTTTGAGTTACTCCTCTGGGTTTGGCAATTTAATTAAAAGCCAAAGGGAATGTGTGAACTTCTGTCTTTGTGCTGATGTGGCATTTTTCTCACTGTGCTAACATGACATTTTCCCTCTGTTCTCTCTTTGCAGGGTAACTTTATATGCTGAGTTCCTTCCAATGAAAGCCAGAGCAAAGTGCATTTTATTAATAGAGGTGAGCAGTGTGTGCTGATCCTTGGAGGGACAAATCCTGCTGTTTGTTACATCCCTTCCATCCTCCTGCCTGGAAATCCCTCCCAGAGCTGCAGTCAGACCTTGCCTGTCCACATCAGTGTGGAGCTGAGCTATCTGGTACCAGCTCAGATCCAAAAGCACAGAAAGCTTCCATGTCACACTCCACTCTTTGTGTTGAATTTGCCTTTTTGCAAATTAACTTCCATCTAGGGATGCAGAGTGACTGCTCTGAGCACAGGGGGGGCACTGAGTCTGTAATTCCACGGTGAAATTCATCTACAGCTCAGTAACGGACTTGGAGGAATGACTGATCCATAAATCCAGGGCTAAATTCAGTTCCACGTCTTCATCCAAATGTGTCAAAGTCACAGAGAGCAGAATTTCACCCTATGAATATTTTAAGGCAAAATTCACAGCCCTCTGATGGATGGTTGGAGGGTCAGGGCCAGAACTGTTATTTGGCTGCATCACTTCTTCCAGGGATGGAAGTGATTGTGACTGTTTCTTTTCCCTCCCCCAGGTGTTCTGGGCCCTTGGGACTGTGTTTGAGGTGCTCCTGGCAGTGCTGGTGATGCCCACGCTGGGCTGGCGTTGGCTCCTCATCCTCTCTGCCCTCCCACTCCTGCTCTTCGCTGGCCTGTGCTTTGTAGGTATTTCCTGCAAGGATTAAAATGTGTTCCCTCAGTTCCCACTTTCTCCACCCCATTCTGTGACCCAGCTGAAGGGAATCATGGCAGCTTTGAGCTCTCTGTTGGTGTCTTCTGTGAAATAGCAATAATGCAAAAATGCTGCTTCCACGGGGTGCTGCTAAAACCATTCCAGGGAGAGCTGTGTTTGTGTGTCTGTAATTGCTGGAGGACAATGGTGGGCTGGAATTTTGGGAAATCAGGCCTGGAACCCTCTCCAATTTAATGACTTTGTTTCAACCCAGCTCAGGGGAATCAACATTTTATCAAAAGTGGTTGATACTTCCCAGATGCTCTTTAGATTTTTAGAATCACTTTCCACTTAAAAATTCACTCAAATCAGGGGTAAAATCTGCAGAGTCCAGGTCAGATTCCAAAATAAGGTGTATATGAGTTAACCCTGAGCTTTGGTGATGTATTTGCCAATCTCTCAGTCTCCTCATAGATAAATGTCCTTGCCAGGTGGTTTAGCAGCTTTTATTATTCCTTAGTTTTTTAGGAATCCCTCCAGTTATATAGGTGCTCACAACCTTGTTTGAAATTAAAAGGAACTTAAAAATATGAATTTTGGAATGTTTTTTGCCCTGGTTGCTTTGCTGTTCCTACAGGGAAGGGGTAATATAAAGAACCTACAAAAACATCCAACATTTTTTTAAGTATAAACCCAAGGGAACTGAAGGAAAAGACTTATGAAGTTCTGAGTTTGTGGGAAAAATGGGGGTTTGCCATTTTTAAATCCTGATGAGATGATTTTCTGAATTCTTAAAGATTAGTTCTGTAATCCTTCCTTGTGCTGGAGTCACTGGGATTTCCCCCCAGGAAAATCCCAGCATGTTCCGTGCTGTTTGTGACATCCCTGTGTGTGTGACCTGCTTTGCTCCCTCAGTGGCTGCCAGAGAGTGCCAGGTATGATGTGTTGTCTGGGAACCAGGAGAAAGCACTTGCCACTTTGAAGAGGATAGCAACAGAAAATGGAGCTCCAATGCCTCTGGGAAAATTGGTCATTTCCAGACAGGTAAGTCCAGGCACCTTAATAATGTGGGATACGGTGGAACTGTGCCAAGGTCATGTGTGGTTTATTAGCAAATAATCAATGTTCTGTTTGATTGTAATGCCTCAGCTAGAGTCTGACACTTTAGCTGTCTTTGGCAGGGATGGGACTGGGTGATCTTCAAGGTCCCTTCCAACCCAACCCCTTCTGGGAGTTTGGGGTCCTTGCCATTCTGCATCCTGCAGCCCAGGACCCCTGAGTTCCCTGATCATCTGATTTCTGCGTGTTTTCAACAGGAAGACCGAGGGAAAATGAAGGACCTTTTCACCCCCCATTTCAGATGGACCACGTTGTTACTCTGGTTCATATGGTAAGAGGGAACACAAAGCTTCGGTGCCAGCACAACTCTTAAGTGCTTTTTATTGAAGTTATTTTACAATGTTACTCAAATACAGCAACTTCCTCCTCCTCAAAATAATAAAAAAACCCCAACAAAACCCAAAACCCCAACACGTATTGATTTGTAATTCATTAAATCACCCAATCACCCTCATTCTCAGTTAAATTGCTCTTTAATTGCTAAATGCTGGTAGGAAATAGCTTTAAGGTAGGACTTAGTGCATCTCCTCCCACAGTGGGTTCAGTTTTGATCCAGGTTTTTAATTTCAGTTTGACCAGCTGAGAATTCCTCTCTCATTTGCTTCCTTGCAGGTTTTCCAATGCCTTTTCATATTATGGGTTAGTTTTATTAACTACAGAGTTCTTCCAAGCAGGAGATGTTTGCAGCAGTGAGTACTAATCCATATTTTCTTCTTAAATATACCCTGTTAAAATTGGTGGAATATCTTTTATAAGATCACCTTCTGCTGTTGGTTTGGGAAGGAATGTGGCTGAGTTTTATTTTAAAAATCTTTATGGGCTGTTCCTCATCTCCTGCACAGGGCAGAGAGATCCTGCAGTGGTTTTGAACTCAAAATGTAAAACAGCAGGACAACCTTCAAGGGAGACCTGTTATCTGTTCTTCTTGAGGAAAAAAAAGTGGTTGAATAAATATAAGTTTGCAGATTTGACAGAGCTAATTAGTTCTGAGAGGGAGAAACTGCTGCTGTGGAGCTCCTGGGTTCTCCAGATGGCAAAACCTGCTGAGAAAAAAAGATAATGGGGGGAAATCATTGTCTTTTTTATTGCAGATTTTTGGAGGGGGGGAAAAAAAAGGTGCTTTGACAGTGTTAAGAAGAAGCTTGAAAAGTCTGATTCCCCAGGGGAGAGATGATTGTGTTCAGAACACATGTAATTAGGGAAAACTGCCTGGAAGTTGGAAAATTACAGAAAGAGGAGGGGGAGTGTTGGGAGCAGACCTGGATCCCAGGATTGTACAGCAGTGATCAGGGATTTGAGGGGTCCAAATCTTCTTTCCTCCCCAAATGAGGATGCAGCCCTTGAAAACACTGGGCTTTACAAGAACATGGGATTATTCAGTATTTTCAGAGCATAGGAATTGTTGGTATCCCAGTTTATGTGGGGAGAAACTGAATTTCTGAGGTTAATTCTGTTCACTGTCCTGAGCCCTGGGGTGAAAAATAACTAAGGCTGTGCAGGTGATAAGGAGGTGGAAGTTTTCATTGTGAGAGTGGTGTGAAACCTACCACAGAAAACATTATAAACTGCTCAGTGTCAGCTCTGCCTTCCAGGTAAAATCACCTGGAATTGCTCTGGAAAGGCCCCTCTGACTGTGGATTCTACCCAAGCAACACATTGGGCATTCAGAGGAGGAAAAACAATTAAATCCAAGGGGCAGAATCACTTGAATTTCTATCCAAAAATGAATTTCCAGAAGTATTTTTAAAGGGTGATGGGTACAGTGAATCAATGCCAGTCCTTTCAGTGCAGCCCTTCCTAAATTTCAGCAGAGTGATAAACATACACCAGGAATGTAAACGGAGATTACTTAAAATACATGAAATATTTGATTTTTTGTTTCCTCCCCCAGTATCCAGCAGAAGGCAGGAAGTTAAAGCAAAGTGCAGCCTGACCTGTGAGTATCTGACAGAGGAGGATTACACAGACCTGCTCTGGACAACCCTGTCAGAATTCCCTGGTAAGTGGCCATGGGAAGCACCAGTTCTTCCCTGCTCAGGGTGATGGGAGGGGGCTCTGGGACCAGCAGTGGGACTGGTCTGACTGGCCTAATGCCATCTAAATAACAGAATGGAAAGAAAATATCAAGTTCTAAAGAACCCTTAAATGCAGCAGTGGGAAGGTGAGCAGGGAACAATGGTCAGAAGTTACTCCAGTGAGCCATAGCCAGGCATTTCTGGCTTTCACCTGGGGAATCACTAGATTAATCAGTGGCTGTGGGATGGCAGAGTGGATTGTTCACTCCTACAGCAGCAAAGTATTTGTGAAAGAGACTGAAATCTCAAATCTGAACAACCCAGACCATTAAAAACAGCTCCATCCTCCCCCTTTGCTCAGTTCCCAACTCTCCCCTGGTCTCTTCCACAGGGGTGTTGGTGACGCTCTGGATCATCGACCGGATCGGCCGCAAGAAAACCATGGCCCTGTCGTTCCTTGTCTTCTCTTTTTGCAGCCTCCTGTTGTTCCTCTGTGTTGGAAGGTGGGTACAACACAGGGAACACCTGGAATATCAATTTGATCCATGTTCTCTCTTGATTGAGGCAGGAGAACTGGAAAGTGGTGGTTTGAAAAGCCATGGGATGGTCGTGCTCAGCTGGAGAAAGGATTAAGGCTGGGTTTGGGTTTTCTCACCAGAGTTTGGAAGGAAACCAAAAGAAGCAGAAGAGAAGAAATCCTTTATTATAATCTTGTGGTCAGAGCAATCCAAAAGGGAAAATAAGAGTTTAAGTCTGGGTAGGATGTAACCATTGGGCACTTTTAAATCAGATCTGAATTTAAGCCTCTTCCAGGCACTGTCCAAAACCTCATAGTGCAGAAACCTTGTAATAAGAAACCTCATAAAATTGCACATATCCAGGTGGTAATTGGGCTCATGTCTTTTAAACAGGAAAGGTGGACTCTCATTTCCTTTTCATGGATGTCACTTTTATTTCAGTAGGCCCCAGGTCTCTGTTAGAAACTTAGAAAACTCATGGGATTGTGGGAATGCAGATTGTTTGGCATCATTGTTATATTAAAGGACCAGAAAAAATGCAAAGGGTTCATTTAAAAAGCTGAAAGAAATGATTCTAGTAAATTTAGCATCTTTATTGCACTTGTCTCCAAGTGAACCCCCAGCAGATTGTACCAAACAGTCCCAAACTCTGCTCTCCTCTTTCTTCTCCTAGGAATGTTCTGACTGTGCTGCTCTTCATTGCAAGAGCCTTTATTTCAGGAGGATTTCAGGCTGCTTATGTTTACACTCCTGAGGTAAGGGGGTTGCTTTTGTGATGAGAATATTTAAGGCGAGTGAGAACCTGGTGGAGAAAGTAATTTTGATGACCTGTTCACAACAGACTCCAGCCAAGATCTGAGCTGTAAATCTCATTGTCATTGTCTAACAGAACCTGCTGTGGCAGCACTTATTCATTTCCATTGATTTAGGAGTGAAAGGAAGAGAACTTCCCACTGGCATTAATGGGCTGATGTTTTCTCCCCAGGTTTATCCCACAGCCACACGTGCTTTGGGCCTGGGAACATGCAGTGGAATGGCGAGAGTGGGAGCCCTCATAACCCCCTTCATTGCACAGGTAAAACCCCTTTTCCTCTGAGGCTGGAGGAAGGTTGGAGGCCTTTTCCAACTTGAAACAATTCCATAATTGTGTGAAGGTCACAGAGAACCTGCTTTTCTTTCCACCAGACCAGGTTGCTCCAAGCCCTGTCCAACCTGGCCTTGAGCACTCCCAGGGATGGGGCAGCCACGGCTGTTCTGGGCAACCTGTGCCAGAGTCCCACCACCCTCACACAAAAATTTCTTCCCAATATCCATTTCTTTCCCTGCTGATGTCCTGTGCTCCTTTGCTGCCTGTTTCCTGCAGGTGATGTTGGAATCCTCAGTGTACCTGACCCTGGTGGTTTACAGTGGCTGCTGCCTCCTGGCCGCCCTGGCCTCCTGCTTCCTGCCCATCGAGACGAAAGGCCGTGGCCTCCAGGAGTCCAGCCACAAGGAATGGGGCCAGGAGATGGTGGGGAGAGGATCTCACTCCCCAGAGGAATCACAGGAGTGATGGCACATGGAAAGAATGGATGACAGGAGCAAGATTTCTCACAAAACCTCCGAGCCCGAAGCATCGAAAGCTGAGCTTCGTCACTGCCAACGTCACGTGTCAAACTGCAGGAATCTGGGGGTGAACCTCAGCAAATTGTGTCTCTGCTGCTCTTTGCTCACACTCATAGAAACTTTCCATCTGTATGGAGAGGGATTTAATCCAGACATCCTCTGGAGTTTAGCAGGAAAGGTGTTTGTCTGTCGTGCTTGCATGGTCAGCTCCTCAGCTTCAAACGTTCCGTGCCAAGCAAATCACCAAGTGACTGCAGCCCAGCATCAGCTGTAACTAAATACTGAACTCTTGAGCCCAAAAACAAGAGGTTGATATTTATTGTGTCCCTGGCCCAGCACAGGGTGGGTTCCATACACTACACTAGGAATTACATGCCTGCCTTGCACTTTTAGCCGTCAAAAACACACCAAAATGTGGTTCCAGCAAACCAACCTTTGCAGTTCCTCTGTTTGTGGGTTCTGTTCCTGGAGATTTAACAGGGAAGGATTGCTTGGAAATGAATTTCTGAATGTTTCTGCCATCCCAGCAGGTAGTTGGAGCACTGAGGATGGTATTTGCTGCAGAGCTGAAACCTTATATCACGAATGTAAATCATGGAATCATTAAGGTTGGAAATGACCTCCAACATCATCAAGTCCAACTTTTAAATCCTCATGGTTTGGAGCAGAATTTGAGTTCTCTGACATTGTCAAAAACCTTGAGCTCTCTGTCTTGCTTGGTGTGGGGAGGTGCTCGCTGCTGTGGTTCTGTCCATGGATCCAGGTGTGTCCCTGCTCCATTTACCTGAGCACCTTCCCACAGTGTAGCCAGAACCTGAGCTGGAAGAGCTGCTGTTGGGATGCAGCTGCTTCCAAATGTCTCCCAGCAAAAGTTGGCCTCCTGACAGCTGGGCAGGACTTTTCCAGAGCTGCTGATTGTACACTGACTGGTGACAAAGGAATGTGGCTGGAATTGTGACATAAAAGGAACAAAAGTCACAGGAAGAGCCAAACTGCAAAGACCCCTGGATGAGGAACATCCCTCCCTCAGGTGCAGCTCCTCGAGGTGATGGTCCCACTCTTGTCAGGGAATGTCATGGAGTTCAGGTGAGGACAAGCTCAGAAACCTGGCACTGGGCAGGAAATCCCATTGCAGAGCCTATGGGAATGTGTGAGGATCTGAGATGTGCCTCCTTCAGGTCCCAGTGTATTTTCAGGATTCCAGATCATGGAACACAACCAAATGTGAGGGAGATGGACTCTGTGCTTGTCCTGGGATGTGTTTTCATAGTCTGTCTGATCAGGTGTCTCACATAAACACAGGTAAGTGTGCAGCACATTTTTGCACAGTTGAATATTTTAGGTATCCTGGGAAGCAGGTCCTGTTCCTGGGGGCAGGACCAGGTCACTGAGCCCATGTTTGGGGGCAGTACAAGTGAACACTGTTGGGCTCAGCTGTCACTGGGGGTCTCCCAGCACTGTGTGATGCTCCACCACGTGTCAGGCTCATTGCTCAGAGACTGGAGGGAAAACAGAAGTGGATAAGTCCTTAAAAAACCTGAGGAAACTCAGGCTAAGGAAAAAGGCCAAAGAGGTTGTTGGTGGTGTGTGTGGGTGTGTTCTCTGGGAACAGCCACAGTTTGCCAAGACACCAGAATGTCCATTCAGTCCCCACTGGTGGCTGAGCAGAAGATTCCAGGAGTGGTTGATGTAAACAGGCAAAGTTGGCTTTTCCCAGTGACACAGAAATGAATTCAGCTCCCAGGGGATACCTGGGATCCCTGGATCAGCTGTGGGTGATGGCACAGAACCTGCTGTCTGTTCCAGCAGGGTTGGTTCTCTCTGTCCCTGCTGTCCCTGTGTCCTTTGAGTGGCTCCAGTTGATCCCAGTGAACAGGAGGGCTCTCATGGCACTGGCAACACCCACAACTCCTTTGTGTTCACCCCCTTCTGCCAGGCTGGGGTTGGGTCACTCTCCCAGGTGCTCCTGTGCCCCCCTCTCCTTGTGGGAGTGCCCTGAGCTGTTCCCAGTGTGTGTGCTCCCCAAAACAGGGGTCCTCTGGAGCTGAGCTTGGTAAGAGGGGACAGAACCCAAGTGCAGGACAGCCCTGGCTGCAGGAACCCACCTCCCTGCCCAGGAGTTACTCATTACCTTTAGTTAAAATGCTACTTTTCCATGTTAATGGTCACATTTCACTTCGGTTCTTAGGCCAATATTCAACAGTTTTGAAAAATTGCAACAGCCTTTAGAGAGTTTTAGGGAAAGTTTATCTGTTCATGAACACCTGGATCCTACAGATAAACTACTTCTCATTAAAGATTTATAGGGAATGCAAACTTTTGATGCTGTTGAATAGGTCACTTTTAACCTGTGACATTTACAGTGTGAAAAAAACAACAGTTAAAGGCCTTTTTGCTTTTCACCTTTTACAAAATCTGCACTAAAAATGTGCTTAATGATATAAATACCATGATTGGTCCTGATGGGTCTTTGATTTCAGTGATGCCTAAAGCTTGATCCAAAGCTCACTGAAGTCTGGGAGAACTCCTGTGGATATCTGTGGCCTTTGAATGAGCTGAGTAGAAGGAGACAGGAGCCCACCACAGCTGATCCTCTGAACTCAGCAGGAGAAACAGAGCTGAAATTCAGGATTTGCGGGTACTTGCATATAATTAAGAACAGGACGTTTGAGCTTGTTCAGTGTAAAACTGAGACCATTTGGGTGGACACACAACACCTCTAAATATAACCACAAATCGATTTTGTCGATAAGGCAGCACCATTTATGTAGAAAATCAAGCTTCCAAAGATTGTTTTCCATAATGCGTATTTTTCACCGATGAAGGAATTCCTGTAACTGCTTCATTTCAAACTGTTGAGTGAGATCATTTGGAATTCAGACAGAATTTTGGGATTCAGATTTGCCAACTGTCCAAGACGTGAACGTGCCAAGCTGGCGTGGGAAAAGAATTCTCCAAGTGAGCTTTGATGGAATGATTTGTTATTCCAAACTTCTTGCCGAAAGAGCATTGAATGTTTCCTGTGTCTGAATGTACAGTTTCTAAGCTGGATTTACATTTTAATGTTGAAAAACTTGGTGTATATCAAGCTTGTTGTAAAATACTTCTTTGGTTCCTGGTCCTGGATGGTTGAAGTCCACATTAGATATTTTATGTTAAACAAATAAATAGTTTTTTCAGTAAATAAGTTTGGGCTGTTTTGGGGGGTGTTTAGGAGGGGTCATAACTTTCCCTTGTGGTTTTGTCTTGGTGTTCAGAGGTTTGAGATACAGTGTGAGCTCAGGACTTTGCAGATCTGACTCATTTTCTGTGTGTTTTGTGTATTTGGTCATAAAGAAAAGTCCAGGATTCCTGTTCCCATTGTAAGTAACCTCACCACAGCTAAATATTGTGGATATTCCATCCCTGGAAGTGTCCAAGGCCAGATTGGACAGGGCTTGGGATAGTGGAAGATGTCCCTGCCCATGGCAGGGGCTTGGAACTGGATGATCTTCAAGGCCCTTTCCAACCCAAACCATTCCAAGATTCTATTATTTTTTTAACTATCTTAAACCTTTAGTTGATTTTCATATTTTAATTCAGTTTGGACACTAAACCCCAGCAGTTTGCCCTCTTACCTGTGTGTGTTGGGAGCAGGTAACTCCATGTGTGTCTGGACTTCAGGGCAGGCAGAATTCCTTCTATTTACTTTTTAATAGAAACCTTTCATTTAGCTCTGATTTTTCTAAAACCTAATGAAGTGCCCAGCCCTGACTGTTCCTCTGTAACTGATACTCTTATTTTGATGTCTAAGAATTTTACAAACATGAGGTTGTTCAAGTCTGAGTCAAAATGACTAATGAGCTGCAAATCCTTCATGTGCTAATCAGGGTGTTCTCATCCCAGATGCATCAATCTTCCTTCTCCCAGCTTGTGCAGCCGCTGGGATGGACAGCCTTATTCCCAGGAATGGAAATAGTTGGGAGCTATGGAATGGTTGGTGTGCCTGAAGCGGTGCTGGGGAGAATGTTCGCTCTTCTGTGGCTGTTTTTTGGCATCCTGAGGCATTTCTAAAGTTCATTCTCAGAATCACAGACCATTCTGAGAACAAAAGGACCCACAAGGATCATCCAGTCCAACCTCTGGCCCTGCACAGGACAGTCCAAGGATCCCTGTCCCATGTCCCTGAGAGTGTTGCCCAACTGCTCCTTGAGCTCTGGCAGGAGTTATCCCAAATGCCAGAGCTGCTGTTGGCTCACAAAGGGAAACTTTCCTGATACTTGATGTGTTTCCAGCTTTGTTCTGGGTCACAGGAGATCCTTGTGGAGAACTGGGAGTTCCTGAAATGTGCTGATGCCAGAGGCAGGTTGGTGCTTGGTGTTTTGTGTGTGTCAGGAAAGGACGTGCAGGAATTGTCCAGGCATCATTCCCTGACTCCCTCACCTCCCCTGACCTCAAGAGAGAACTTCAATCATGTTGGAGAGGCCCTGGCACAGGGAAGCTGTGGCTGCCCCATCCCTGGGAGTGTCCAAGGCCTGGTTGGACAGGGCTTGGAGCAACCTGGGATAGTGGAAGGTGTCTCTGCCTGTGGCAGGGGTGGCACTGGGTGATCTTCAAGGTCTCTTCCAACCCAAACAATTCCATGATTTCTGTGAGTTCCTGATGCCCTGGGGACTGACAGCCACTGCAGACCTTCTCACAGTGATGTTTCCAGTTCACTGTCTGCTCAGAATGTGGAATGATGACTCTTCCTCCTGCAGCGTGAAATGTTCAGGGAAAGTGTGTGTGGAGACATGGAATGAAGATCTACTGGGATGTTTCTGTGGAATTAGCATTGGAGGCCCTGCCTGTGCTGTCATTAGGAAGAAAAAGCATCACGTGCAGGATGTTTGAATATTTCCTTTATTGTTCACAAATACGAAATTGTGCCTTTAGAGAGCAAACAAAATTACCCTGTAAATAAAATTACAGATCAAATATTTCCTGTTTCCCGAGAGGCCATGTGAGATCACAGGACAGTGGCTCCTGTAAGCTCTGAGATCAGAAGGATCAGCTGCTCATTGAAGGAACACAGTGATTTCCTGCTCCCCTGCTCTTCCAGTGTAGCTTTTCTGAGATCACACAGTTTGGATTTACAGCAGATGAGAACGTGGTCCTGAATGTCTCATATTTGGAATAAGTGAAATCAAGGGATTTCAGTTCCCCTGAGTGGCTCCTCCTGAGGTGGGATCACAGGCCACTGGGTTCAGCATTAATTGGTGGTGAATTTTCTCCAGCTCTGGTTTTCATTTTCCTTCCCTATTCCCAATTTTACCCCGAGGCTGCAGCATCTCAGGTGAGCTGCCAGAGGGTGGAAAACCCTTTGGACAGACTGGGCCTGACAGTAGCTCCCAATTTCTGGACCCTTCCCTTCTGGACACTGTCTCACTTCCCTTGGAGGTGCTGTCAGCACAGCCAAAGGGGTGATGTCCTGCAGCCAGGAAGCCCAAACCCCGGATACCACTGGATGTTTCATATTTCTCAGGGATGTGAGGAGCACCAGCACTGGGCCAAAATCACAGCCAGAGGAACTTCAGCCCTGCTCTCACTGTGCCTTCAAGAGGGAGTCCTTTCCTTGGAGTGCACTTCCACAGGCATGAGAATTCCCATGTAATGCTGCTGATCTGCAGCATCTCCCGCTCCCGAGGTGCAGCACAGCCCAGGCTGAGGAGCTATTCCTGGCACACGGAGTCATGGGGAGAGAGGAGCTGCATCACGGTTGAGTAAGGAACAGTTGGCTTATCCGTGGAGGAGAGTGAGTCAGGCACTGTGCTGGGCTCAGGACAGCCTGTGGATTTGAGGCTAATGCTTCCTGACCAGCCAGTGCCCTGCCTGGGATGGTTTGCAGAGCAGGAAAGACACATGGCACTGAAAAATCAGCCAGGCTGTACCTTCAGAACAGCGTGTTGGGTCCCCAGGAGCATCCCTGAACACCCCAAACAATCCTGCCCTCCTGGAAGCTGCCCTGAGCCAGCCCTGTTCTCTGAGCTGTGTCCCAGCCTTGTCCCACAGCTGGGAGAAATGGGAAACTGAGGGGCCCATGGGAGTTTTAGGGACAAGAAGAGCTATTTTGCTCTCTGCTATATATAGACTCTGGCAAGTCCAGGGCTGGAACAAGTTGCTTTTGTTGCTAAAACATCCTTTGGAAAGCCCATTTTAGGCAAGTGCTGCTGTCTGTTCCCAGCTACACTAAGCAGGTGCTGCAGTCCCGGGCTTTGTCCTGGCAGGAATGGGAGGAAAGCTGGTGGAACCCAGGCACGTGCTGCCAGAGCTGTTGTTACTTCCCTGGGAGCCTCAGAGCTTCTTCCTACTAAGGAGCTTTTGCCTCCTGGGGGGAGCCTGGAAATCTAATTACACACTGGGTGCTGGAGCACCAGGGGGGACCTCAGGTGGCACCGGCTTGGTTTCAGATCCTGTCCCATGTGCAGATGAACTGCAGGGCTGTCGGGGTTTCAGCTGAACCCTGCCTGCCCTTTTGCAGGCTGATCCCAGACAGGACTGCTCTTTGCCATGGGTAATTAGTCCGGATTTTAAAGCCTTTCCTTGGGCAGGTTGTGCAGGGAGCTGAGCTGTCTGGAAAAGGGCAGTGAGGCACTGTGGCCCAGAGCTGGAGCTGTGGAGGGTCGAGCACCTGCACGTATCCCTGTGCTATTCCCATTGTTCTGTGTGATTTCTAAGGCACTGCTGTTGGGATGATCCGGGTGAGCAGGTACTCCCAAAGGGGTGAGCAGGCACTCACAGGCGGGGCTGTGGTGAACTGGCCACCTTCCCCCTCTCCTGGAGGATGCTCCCGAAGAGCCGGGCTGCTGCCATGGCACAGCCCCAGTGGATGGTGATCCCAAACCCGCCGTGGCCGTAGTTGTGGATCACCTGGGGGAGAATCACAGAATCATGGAACGGTTTGGGTTGGAAGGGACCTTAAACCCATCCAGTTCCACCCCTTGCCATGGGGAGGGACACTTTCCACTAGCCCAGGTTGCTCCAAGCCCTGTCCAACCTGGCCTTGGACACTTCCACGGGCGGGGCAGCCACATCAGTATCGTGTTTCTGTGTCTCTGACATTTCTCCCTGGCCCTGGGCTGGAATGGGATCAAAGATTCCCTGGCTGTTGGTGGGGCCACGGCGAGGGCCCACGATGGTGGAGCAGGCTGAGGGCATAGCAGGGAGTTGGTGTTTCATTGCCAAGGTCATGGGGCACAATTAACACAATTACACTCAGCCCCCAGGGCTGTGCACGCACCTCTCCCTGGACATTCCCGTGCCGGACGCTTTCCCGCTCCAGGCGAACACGGGGCCGTGACGGTCTCAGGCCAGTCCACTCACTGACAATCTTGGCTTTCTGGAAGCAAAAGTACATCAGCATCTGCACAGCACCCCTGGAATTACAGCAGCCAAGCCCCACGGCTCCAGGTGATCCATGAGAAGAGCAGGGACAGGGGGTTCCCAATCCTGCAGCAGCTCCTGGGGTGCTGCAAGGGGTGACCAAGCAGAACAATTTGGGATTACATCTGCTCATCACCAGCCTGTGTGGAGCGGGTGAGGCAAATCCCTGTGCTGCCTTTCCTGCTGATCCAGGGCACAGCAGCAGCACTGGGAGTGGACACACAACAGCCTCACCCCACGCCAGCCCTGCTCTAGAGCTGTGGAGACACCACAACCAAAGGGCTGGGACCTCCCAGGGCATTAGTTCTACTTTTTTACCAGCTCTAGGGGAATTACTTTTCCTATAGACCTCATCCCTGCCTGTCCATCAGCCGGGTGGAAGAGCCCTGTGCATCTGTGATGGATGGAAACACAGACTCATGGAAACCTTGAAGTTCTGTGGTTTGTTCCATTCCCACATCCCTGAGCCCCCCAGCTCCCTGTGCCCCATCCCAGTGGGTGTTGGGTGAGGTCACCCACCTGGAGAGCCGGGAGCAGGCGGCAGCAGCTCTCCCAGATGGTTTTGTGGTCCTGGGCACTGTTCTCCTCGCTCCAGTTGCCGTGCTGGTAAATCCCTCCCAGGACCGTGAACTCGCTCCTGCACCCAAAGGACACACAGGGTGAGTGTCCCCAGCTGTCCCTTGTGGGGTCGCCTCATGGAGGGACTCTGTGTGTGTGTGGTGTTGGATCCTGGTCCATTCTGAGCCTGCAACATATTCCTGCTGGAAAAATTCCCACATGGAGCAG